GAGAAAGATGAATTTTGTATACAGTAAGTAACTTCAATATTGATCGTTACATGTTAATTAACAGTTCTAAATGTTCTTACATCTCAAGAAGTAAAGTTACTAAAATAAAATTGTTCTTCTACCAATAATATGTCTGAGGGACAATTTTTCCTGAGTTTCAACCTGTAGCTTTTCCTCTCATACTTCCCATCACAAAAAAATTTTACTTGCAGAACATATGGATTTATAACTGCCTAACAGGGAAAATATTTCTTCTGAACTGTAATCTTTGTTACTTTAGAAAGCTAAATGATCTCTACACAGTCTAGTCATCTCACAGAGGAGCAGATTATTAGAGGGAGATTGTTCTTCACCTCAGTCTGTAGCTATGTCTTGGTATTAGCAGTTGCCTTTCTTTGGGATTTAAGGTGGCAACTACAAAAATTTATGTGAAAAAAAAAATCTGAATAAATTCATCACTATTCTGTTCCATTTCTTGAAAAGTTTGCTATCTTGTTGCAAGTATGTGGCCTGTTAGGTTTTATTTATTTGCAGTGTTACAAGTTTGACACCACAGTAACAAAGACCCCACAATCTTTTCCAATAAAGACAGTATGACTTTGCCTATATTTTCACAACAATTTATCAGATTCAGTGTACAGGGAAGAAAAACAGGTGATGACAACATTTTGATTTTAAATGCAATTGGAATACTTTGATGGAGGAAAATGTTAAAACAAGAGTTAATAATGTTTAGGGTTACATGCAAGAGTCCTCTGCTTAAAGTACCTGGTGGTTTGTTGTTTTTTTCTAGACAATTCAGGCTACTTGGATTTTTTTTTTTTTTAATTAAGCAGCTTGTCAATAGCTTATAGACACAAAGAATTCCACCATTAAAAACAAAAAAACAAACAAACAACAACAACAAAAAACCTCAATTTATTATATTATAAAGTGATACTGATAAAACAACTCGTATATAATAATTACCTTGATCACAAAGCAGTACAATGTTAAACCATAAGATCATAATAAGATGATGGGACTGGGGTGTTTGTCTTAGAGTCCTCTGTCAGGATCATGCAAGCATTCTGTAACATGCCTTTGGAGCAAAATCTTATTTTTCTGTACTCTCCTGGTTTGTTATCATGACTATTGATTACCAAATGAACATAAGCTTTAAATGTATTTGTGGAAGGTCTTTGCAGTCCAGTGGATGATCTCTTAAACCTCTAAAAAAATACAGTAATGCTTTGAAGGGCTTGTGATGTACTAAGTCTGCATCCAGTAGCTTTGCCTCCCTCTGAGAGATATTAGAAGCTCACATAAAATGGTACATCTTATAGATAATGGAGACAGCTGTGACTCTATGCTGCCAGCCACTAAAAACCAGAAGTTAACACATCACTGTGTACAAGATGTCACAATTATTCTCTGTATTATGCAATTGAAAATAGCATCTACTAGCTTTTTAGTTTTGACCATTGTAAGAATTCTTTTCATATATACATACATACATACATAATTTAAAATATATATTATAGATAATAATCATCCATTGGTAACTGATAATTAACATTTTACTCTGTCTACATATCTTTACAAGACCTTTTTTTTTTTTTTTTTTTTTTTTTTCCCCCATCATTCAAAGCACCCTACTGAGACACTCATAGCTACCATTTAGACAAGCAACAAACTAAGGTTTTATTACTTTAATTTTCCGGACAAATTACATGATGGTAAATTACAGCGTACTTTTTGAAAGATGTAAAGGGAGGCAGACTTTGTATTTTGATGAAACGAGCTACCTAGATTTCCAAATGAAAGGCTTACTTTATGTTCCAGCCTATTGCTTAATTGCTTGTATATGCTTTCGGTATTTTAAATGATACAATGTATAGCTACAGTCAAACCACAAGATGCTCAAATTAAACTGGTAAATATCATAATGAATTTAGAATGCCAGTCACAGCCATTTATAATCTCCAGCAGCAAGTTTCCCAGCCTGCCAAGCCTTTCACTTTAAATGGAATGTCAACGCTCTATTTATATTTGTTCTTGAATGCACTGCAGGAGTGGAATGCATTCTTTATTTGCAAACTGTAGGAAATTTTCTGAGTAAATACTTAAATTGGCAAAATCTATCTTAATGGAAAACCTATTATTTTAATTACTAGGGGGTGGTGTACATTTTTGCTTTAGACTCTTTTGAATTAGTAATTAATGGCTTCATCGTGAAAGGCATTTCTTGTTTTGATTTCAGGGAATTCAAATGAAGATAACTTATTTTAGAGAATGTTCAACTTTACCCCAGCCTTATCTGAAGGACAAACAGTACCATATGGGAAGGAGAGGGCAGGATGGAGGTTTAGGAACAACTTAAGCCAGAGAAAACCTTATGGTGAAATAAGATAGACAAATATTTCTGGTTATTGGTATTAATAACTGTTTATCTTACAAACTGCATGTCACCACGAAGCAGAGGTAATCCTCATCAGCAAACTAAATGTAAAGCTTGTTTAGCAGAGGGGAAAAAAAAAAAAAAAAAAAGGAAAGTAGTAAAAGGAATCTGATTCAGGGACATTCAGGATGTCAGGGCTTGGATATTGTCATAAACAGTCATCCAGACTTTCTGACAGGCAACATATTTTCAGCAGGCTTAGTTTAAAGCCCTTCCTTTTCCATGGTGTGCCCTGACTCAGGGCAACACCAGAATATTCTAATGGGAAGATTTTTTGCTTTACTTGAAGTTGATATAACTAGACTTTGGACTGATAAAAATCACCACAAGTCTTTGTACTCCTGAAATTCGTTTGAGTAGCTGACACTTATTTGGATTTCTTATCTCTGGAAGGAAGAAAACGTTGATTCTTGTTTATCAAATTCACTGAGTTACTTTAAATACTAGACAACATTAAAATGTGAACAGCAAGATTTATCCTTATCAAGCAATAAGGATATCCAGCATTCTGCATTAAAAACAGGAAAAGATATTTATGAAAAAATAGTATTTTTTTTTTTTTTTGAGAGAGAGAGAGAGAGAGAGAGAAGATCATGCTGAAATCTATCTGAAATCAATCCTTTCTTCCAGCAGTTGCTAGTCAGAGTTATGCTGAGGTTTTTCTAAGATGAGCAGTTAAGGTACCAATCCCAAAGCATTATTTCTCTGCAACAATTAGTGCTAAGCTTTTATGATATATGAAACCCTATGAATTTTTCAGCAGATAAGCAGATTTTTATTTATTTATTTATTATTTATTTATTTATTTATTTATTTATCTTTAAAGGAAATTGATTAGGCCTGTATTTTTAGTTACTTTTATAGACCCATCAGGAATAGTTCATGTGTATTATTCACTGAAGTATTGTTTTTTAAAGTGGACTCCTGCCCTTGGATTTCAGTTCCTTATTTAAGTCTGAGGATCTTCATGGAGCTACTGAAAAGCAGTCAACTCTTTGTTTTTTAAACCTTTCTGATTTTCTTTTGTTTGCTTTCTTATATATACATACCAGTTTAGGGTACCTTGTTTTTCTTCACTGCTTAGATTGTGTTTAATATTTATAAGAATCATCTGAAAATAACAATTTTCTGAGGGTCTTCAGAGTATGATGGTTACTCATTTCTACCATTTTTAAGTTGTTCCCGAGTCACAGCTTTACTTGTAAAGGCTGTCCAAACAAAGGCTTAATTCTTAGCCATTGTTGTGAAGATAGTAATTTTCCACCAGCGGAGAGGTGCAATGGTAGAAACACATTCTGATAGAACCTTTTCTCTCTTCTGGATTCATACAATGATGAAAAACTTTGCTTTTGTCCTTCTCAAACTGTGATGCTGAAACAGAAGATAAACCCAAACTGCAAAATGCAGTGATATGGCTATTTTTTTAATCTATGAAATGACAAAGAGCACTAAACTTATTGAACTCTCTAAAGAGAAGGAATAACCCTCCTGATACTTTAAGCAGAAATCACCATGTATAGACATATGCCTGGAGGTGGAGACAGAAGCTGAAAAATTAGACAAACTTTTGCACACAGAGAACCTGAGTAAGGTCTCCTGTTCCTGAAAGCCTAACTAATTTTCCAAGTTTGTATAGCAGAATATTTGAGTGTATTTATTTATCTTGTCTTGTGTCCTTAATTTGTCATGATTCCAGCACTGAATTTTGGAAGAAAAGTATCTTTCATGAAGTCACAAAATGTAGATGAACAACCTCATTAGATGCAAGTGCAGCAGGTGGATCTTATTTTGCAAGATTGTCATGCTATTGTGCTGCCTGTGGGATATTTCACTTTTACTGTTGATTTGTCTCAGGAAGTGTCCAAAAGACTGTTTTTGCCACATGGACCCCAAAATCTGAGGTTTACAGTTCTGCAATATAAGTTACGTGGTAAAATCATGCTTCAATAAAATCATCCAGTTAGGCTTCAAAGGCTTCACAGTCTCTATCACAGTAACGCTACATTTTTTTCTTGGTTCAGAGATGGATTTTTCCCTTAAAAACGAAATGAAAATAGTTAACAACTAATGTTTTGTTTGTGTGTTTGTTTGTTTGTTTAAAACATGTCCTACACATTCCATAGATCCACAGCATCCTTGTAATGATGCATTAGTTCCTGAAATGATTTGTAAAAAGTGACAGCAGTGAATAGTGAATGGTCTTCCTCTCTCTGCATTTGTTTCCATGACCCCCAGAAACTTAGATGTCCCAAATTTCCAGGCAGCTAGTCTGCATAGATGGCCTGACTTGAGTTATCAGAGAGCCTTGGGTGAGGCAAAATATAAATCTAAACACAACAGTAAAATGACACACTCTACCAGTCATTAGTTTGGAAAATAAGACAAGTTGTTTCTCTTCCCCTCCCAACAAACAAACAAAAACAACAACAAAACACACACACAAAATAAAACCAAACAAAACCAACCAAACAAAACCACCACCACCAAAAATAAGAAACCAAAACAAAAACAAAACAAAACAAACAAACAAACAAACAAACAAAAAAAAACATTTCAAAAGTTTGATTTAACTCATTTGATTTAATGATTTAGCTGGAAAATTCTCCAACTGCCACTACTACTAATTGGATCTGGATCAGGATCTAGCTGTTCTGATTTAAACACATACCTAGTGGTTAGAAAATATGTGATATTTTTACACAAAACTTTTCAAATTCCATATTTGTGCCATACTTTTTTCAGTCTTACAAAGAATATGCAAGAAAAAATAAATGCCTTAACTAGAGTTCCACATAATTAAGTTAGATAGTTTTATTTGGTTTAAAATATCTGAATATAAGAAAAAATATGTGGATTTTTTTCCCATGTGCACATCATTATTCATGAGATTTTTTTAATTGAGTACATACTTAATCAAAGACAAATTACACCCTGTGTGATCCTAATTACAGGGCTACTACATCTAAATGAATGCCTAAATTCAAACATCTTGAATTAATCAACCTTCATACACTGCATATTTGAACAGATTTTTCTTAAAATGACTGTATTTTTAAATAAAATGAATCAGCTACCATAGCCCATTGCTCAAATTTATTCTAGAGAACAAAAGCTTTGAAAAAGTGGAATGATACCTTCCAGACTCAATGTCACACTGAACCACTCTAGTTCTTGTGTGTCTTGCTACATGGTATTTTTAAATAAATCTTAACATAATTTGAGAACATTGTGACTCCCACAGTTATTCCTGAGTGTCACCCCCAAAATTCATGTGGAATATACAGCATTACTAGACCATTCAGCAAAGCAGATCCAGGCCTCAGAATAAATGGTTGTCTTGCAATCACATCTGCTGCTGCTCTTCCAACGTTCTTATGGACTGTTTTCCATCTAGGAACCAAAAGAAGACAGACTTTTGTTTGTTTGTTTTTTTTTTTTTTTTTTAAGATTAAGTATGAAACAAATTAGGCAATTTTCTGGCAAAAAGGATACAATTAAACTGTAACCTAATTCTTCTTCCAAAGAAATAAAAAAAAAAAAATGAGTTCAGACAATGAAAACTACATCCAATTAATATCAAATATGGTTGAAAAATTTTTAGTAATGTGTCATCAAATATGTACTGCTGAACCTACAACTGGTAACCACAAAGTTGTACTAAAAAATGCTCCCTTAATACAAAGATCTTGAATAATGATGTATTATAAATACATTTCTCGTAAGGAAAAAAATAAAAAATAAAAGTCTGTGCATGTGAAATGAGTGCTTATACAACAGGATTTTGCCAATTAAACTGAATCAGTGAGTCAGATCCTGAAGACTTTTTAGTTTACAGGCCTTAAACACAGTGAAAGAATGGACCTGGCCTCTGCACTGATGATTCATTGACAGCAGCGTTGTCTACAGTATGAAGTCAGAGGGGATGCTTGGGGGAGCTGCAGGGGCTGCTCACATTGGAAATGCATGTCCAGTTTCAGGATGTTGTTAAGCTCCTGGGCTGAGCATGATCCTCTGCTTGGGACTGCATCAAAGTGTCTATGTATCCTCTGGTTTGTGTGCCACCATATTTACCACTTTTTGTAAGACGTTACTGACAAAGTAAATCGGATCTATTCAAAGAGTTCTTGCAATGTACAGAAACAATAGAAACATTTTTTTTTTTTTTTGTATGTAGTGCAGAAATTCCAAGGAGATATCATTTATTGCCAGTTGTAGATACATGACTGAGATCTAGAAGAGACAGATCAGAAGTCAGATATATGTACATTTAATCCTATGGAAATATTACAGTTTCTCAAATGGGAGGAGGGAGGTTTCTCCTCCAATTTCTCCTCCTACTGATATGAGAGAAAATGAGATCATTGCCAGAAATTAAATTTTGGAATTGATTACTTCATTAGAAAATGAACATCTACACGTAGATAACTAAGCTTCAAGGATTCTTTAGGAAGGGATGAATTTTCAGTTTTTGTCTTCACTGAAGCATGAATGTTCAGACACCTTTTCTCAAATACCATACCTGGAAGGAATGTCAGCCCCTTCTGTGTGTGAGTACCTGTCAGAGCTCCCCAACGATACCAGGGATTGATTCTGCTGAAGTCATTAGTACGAGAAAGGAAAGATTGCTATTTCTCTTTCTGCTCTTAGTTCCATCTGCTGTGACAAGACATACACAAACTTGGTTTACATCTGCTTATAGCTGCTGACCCAGTAACAGATATCTGGATTGAGGACAGAGTAATGATCTATTTGAATCACTTGTAATTAGAAAGGTGCTTCTTAGTTTCTCATGTTTAAAGACTAATTTGATAACCCATCCTGTTTTTCCCAAGTGCCAAAAACCCATTCCTCCATTACTTTTGGGAGAAGAATCAAAAGTGCCAGGGGGTGAGGGGAAGGAACAGTTGTGACAGTCAAGATACGGACTGGATAATGTCCACAACTTCATAGGCAGCAGTACACCAATAAATGCATTATCTGGCACATATATTTAATTGTCTTTTTGAAAGAACATCTTAGAACATTTATTAATGTCACAGAATGCCTTCACTGTAGTTTCCTTAATAAGAATGCAAAGACCAATAATAAGCAGTATAATTTTATTCTATTTTCATGGTGGAAATGCTCAGTCAGACTCCTTTAAGTGTTCTGAGATCCTGGGTTAAATATGAGATCTGTTATTACACACAAAATTACTGTGGCTGTCAGGAGGGTAAGAGGGGCAGACTCATCAAAGGAGTAGGGAAAGAGAATATCAAATAATGAAAAAAAAAAATAAGATGGAGCATCAACTGAGGAAAGTTCACTTCTATGCAGAATTTTGTTTTGTTTTGTTTTCTCCTCATTCCAAACTCACATCTGTTAATAATTCATACAGCCAAACATTTCCTTTTATATTGCATTTCCTTGGAGCATTGAAAAGCAGAAAAACCTCAAAAATTTCCAAGTAATTTCCTTTCATAAGCCTCAATTAATCCTCTTGCAGTTCCTTGGCTATATTGAAAATTAAAATATGTGTATATCTATGATTGTGTTCTGACTGAATAACAAATAACACCACTGATGATAATAAATCACATTTAGTCATTCCAATCTGCTAACCACTGAATCCTTAGCTAGCTGGTAACATTTGAGTTACACATGTCAAGAATGCCTGCCTTATCTTTCAGTTACAGAATAAAATTTCACAAAAGATAATCCTCAGACTATTTATAGCATAGCTATTTCACAGTGAGATTCATATTTGTGACTATTTTCCTGTGAGAATTTATGTGGGGAGGCTGAAACAAAATTCTAAGTAAGTGCCAATAATGATGTTCTGGGGAGAAAACCAGGGAATTCAAAGGGGTGCACAGTGAGCACAGAGGTGCCTGGTGAGGCAGTGCCCTGGCAAAACTTGTACAAGGAATTACAATACTTTTACTGCCAAGTACTCTTTCAGTGCTTATTAGCTCATGAAAATACTTTAGCTTTCATTAACAAAATCTCTCTCTTGCTGTTGAAAACTAAAGTCAGCATTAACATTTTTTTTTTTGTGTAGAGGAAGACTAGAGAGAAGAATGTGCTACTCCAGAGATAGACATTAAATTTACATTTCATTAAAAGGCTGGGAGAGAGCAGGCTTTCTAAAAGTTAAGCAAGTGCAAGAAGGCACTGATCTAAATTACACCTTCCTGTCCCAGCTAAGCCATATGAGTTAGCCTGCTGTAGAGGCTGCTTTGCTATCTGAGCTGCTTTTAGCCCAATGCTAGATATAGCCCCTATCAGAGTGCTGCTGGTGGTCTACCAGAAAGATCTAGAAGAAACAGCAAATATCTGTTTTCCCTGACTGCTTTTTCACCTGTAGCTTTTTCAGGCTCACTTTTTGGTCCAGAGCTTGCTCTGTTCACCAAAACTGATCAACCAGGCTCTTTTCACCGGTGCCCACTGATGGGACTAGAAGCAAAAGGCACAGTTGGGAAGACAGGAGGTTTCCTCTGAACATCAGAAAGATCTTCTTTACTGGTGATGAAGCACTGGCACAGGTTGCCCAGAGAGGTTACGAAGTCTTCCTCTTTGGAGATCTTTAAAATCTGCCTAGACATGGTCCTGGGCAGCCTGATCTCAGTCATGCTGTTTGAACAGGGGATTGGACCAAATAATCTCCAGAGGACCCTTCCAACTTCAGCCTTTCCATGATTCTGTGATCTGTCAGCACACGCAAGTGTAAGGCTGATTTGCACAGCTGCAAGCACATTTCCTTGGTAGACCATTGGCAACCAGGGACTCCCATCAGTGCTGTGCTAGTATTATACCTGCATCAATCCTTTCTTGCCTATATAGGGGTGATAATATGTCGTGGTTTAACCCGGCCGGCAGCTAAACACCACGCAGCCGTTTGCTCACCCTCCCCCTCCCTCTCTGGGACGGGGGAGAGAAATGGAAAGTGAAGCCCGTGAGTTGAGATAAAGACAGTTTAATAAGACAGGAAAATAATAGTAATAGTAATAGTAATAGTAATAGTAATAGTAATAGTAATAGTAATAGTAATAGTAATCGTAATCGTAATCGTAATCGTAATCGTAATCGTAATCGTAATCGTAATCGTAATCGTAATCGTAATAGTAATAGTAATAGTAATAGTAATACAATGGTGATAACAGTACTACTACTAATAATATGTACAAACAAGTGCTGCACAATGCAATTGCTCACCACTCGCTGACCGATGCCCAGCCTCACCCCGAGCAGTCCGGCCCCCTCCCCCGGCTAGCCACCCCTATATATTGTTTAGCATGACGTCAGATGGTATGGAATACCCCTTTGGCTAGTTTGGGTCACCTGTCCTGGGTCTGTCCCCTCCCAGCTCTTACTGCACCCCCAGCCTGCCTGTTGGCAGGACAGAGCAAAAAGGCTGAGATGTCCTTGGCTTGGTATAAGCACTGCTCTGCAACAATTAAAACATCGGGGTGTTATCAGCACTCTTCTCATCCCAAGCCAAAACACAGCATTCCACCAGCTACTAGGAAGAAAATTCTGTTCTAACTGAAACCAGGACAAAATACCATTGTAAAAATTGGTGAATATATCTGCAGTTTGCTCTAAACAAATGACGAAACTAAAGACAACACGTAACCCTGCATGGCAAACCCTGGTATGTGCAGCTTAAGTTGAATTGCTTATGACAAGTGAATTGTCAAAGGGCCTGATTGTGTGTGGCATAGGCAAGGGGAAGAACAAGTAAGTTTGTTCATCTGTGTCCAAAATCATGGCAAGGCATATACAGACTGCTGAAAACTCGGCTAGCTGAGACTGTCATAAGAGCACAGTGGTGCTAATTCTGGTGTTATCAGGGCAGAAACTGATACAAACTGACAAGCACTGTGTTTGCCTATAAGGGCTGATATCTCTAGTGATTTTAGTCGGCTCAAGTGAGCTCTTCCCCATATATTTGCATCACTATCTTACATCTTACTTAGGGAGCACTGGGACACAAATTGAAGAGGTGGGTTTATTAATGACATGCTTTTCCTTTATGTTTCTGTAGAAAATTCACACTAGCAGAACATGAAAGGTGAGATATTGCTCTCGGAACATCAGATGATGCAGCCATTACTTGTCCCCCTGAGATGAAGGCAATTAATGTGTTTATAATTACTGGAACCAGAATAGGTGTCTTTGGAGGTAATGCTGTGGTGCAGGTATTTGTACAGTGGTCCCCATGGTCCTGACCCAGCACATACCGGAGCCACATACTGATTTCCTGTGAAGGTAAAACCTTCATGTGCACCATCACCTGGACAGGCTTGAGAGGTGGGCCTGTGCAAACATCATCATGTTCAACAAGGCCAAGTGCAAGGTTTTGCATCAGGGTCAGGACAGTCCCAAGCACAAATACAGGCTGGGTGGAGAATGGATTGAGAGCAGCCCTGAGGAGAAGAACCTGGGGGTGTTGGTTGATGAGAAGCTCAACATGAGCCAGTAATGTGTGCTTGCAGCCCAGAAAGTCAACTGTATCCTGGGCTGCATCGAAAGCAGTGTGGCCAGCAGGGTGTGGGAGGTGATTGTCCCCTGCTGCTCTGCTCTCATGAGACCCCACCTGGAGTGCTGTATTTAGCTCTGGGGCTCCCTGGACAAGAAGGACATGGACCTTAGAACAAGTCCAGAGAAGGGCTATGAGGATGATCAGGGGGCTCAAGCACCTCTACTATGAAGACAGGCTGAGGGAGTTGGTGTTGTTCAGCCTGGAGAATAGAAGGCTCTGAGAAGACCTTATAGCAGCCTTCCAGCACTTAAAGGGGGCCTACAAGAAAGCTGGGGAGCTGACAAGTTCTTTTTTGGGGGGAAGTGTAGTGATAGCACAAGGATTAACAGTTTAAAAAAGGGTAGATTTAGATTAGATAATAGGAAGAAATCCTTTACACAGAGTCTGGTGAGGCACTGGAACAAGTTGCCCAGAAAAGCTGTGGATGCCCTATCCTTGCAAGCACTCAAGTTGAGGTTGAATGGGGCTTTGTGCAACATGGTATTGTGGAATGTATTCCTGCCCATGGCAAGGGGGTTGGAACTAGATGGTCACTAAAGTCTCTTCCAACCCAAACCATTCTCTGATTCTCTGATTTTCTGATGCAAATGCATTGATTACATCCACAAAAAAGTAGGACAGCACTTTGCAGTGACTGTAGTATGCAAATTAAACTACAGAGGTGCTGATAAAAATCTTTCATCAATCAGTAGAGGTAATGAAGGTAAACATAACTCAATATATCCATTAATCCAGGAACAGGTTCTTCTGTCATGTGATCAGACCTCCACTACCAGTCAAATATTTTATAGCAGTGACCAAGAATGTTAAGGAACAAATCCTATCCTTAACCAGATTAAAATTTTTTAAGGAGTCATTCGCTGTTCTGCAGAGAACTAATATGGGGTTCACTGTGTCATCTAAAGGTACAAATGGTGATGACCATGGTGACACTTGGTGACTGCATGGGGGAGTTTTAGGTCAGTCTAGCTGAAGCCGGTGGAGAGGATCAGATGCCGATTGTTGCTGAATTTGTTGCAGTGCTGACTTTCTTCAGAGCTCTTTTAATACAGATGTCCTTTCTATGAACCATGCTCACCTGTTGCATTTTCATCATTCACAGACAACAAGACACTATTTCACAGTTGTCATCAGTACCAATTCAGTCAGTGCTGCTTGTCTAGGCAAGAGGTTTTCATAGATGAAGCTATAGCTGCACAGAGCTTGCAGATCAGTTGGCTCAAAAAAGTATCAAGTGTGACCAATTAAAATGCCATACTCAAATCTGCATTTCTGTCAGAAAAAAAATGAGAAGAGGGATGTTCCAAAGTCCTTCCTGTACAGAACCTGTCTGGATCTGAGAAAAATAGTCCTTGAGTTTTCAAGTAGTTAAAGAAATTAATCTTTACAAGACTGAGGGAAAATAAAAATCCTTTTTTTTTTTTTTTCTTTTCCCTTCAGTACATTTATTGTAGATTCTATGTAAATAAAGTGGATTTCAACTCCTTACCTGGGAAGCATAATATATTTTGAACAGTGATGCTGTAAAAAGTAATGAGCATAGACCAGACAACCATGTTCAGAGACCTCTTTCAGCTTCATATAACAATGTGTTTCAAGTTTTGTCGACCTTGATCAAATGCAGCATCTCTGATTATCTTAGATCTTGCCTGTCTGAATTTCACAAATCTTCACATTTATCCATGGCAAACTAGAATGCTATTTTAAGTTGTAATTGCATCCTTATACAAGCTTATCTGGGATTTGGCATGTACAAACAAATGAATTTACAGATTTCACAGTACAGTGGTTAGAGGAGCCTTCTCAAACTGCTGCCCTAATTCTGGTTGCTATGGAAAATGAGAGGAAACAACATCAATGACATCTTTGTAATGGGAGGAGAAAATGCAAAGGGTTGCTTAGTCACTACATGACTCTATTTTTACACTTGTTTAACCCTAGTGATGTCAGTGAGACAACAATCAAATATTAGACTAAAGACAGGGGTCACAAATAAAGTCCTGGTCGCACGCAAGTGAAAAATAAAACTCCAGCTCATCTGTTGTCTTTTGAGGAGAAAAGGGGTGACAGTCACCCAGAAAATATTCATGGTCAGCTTCGACTGCCATTTTTTCCTCTACCTTTTGTACATTTCTAAGACCATTATCTGATATTTTACCATTTTGAGGATTCACACCCAGATTCATTCCTGACTGACTTCAGCTAAAGTTGGACTAGCTTCCAGACTGTCTGGAGTTCTAAATAAACTGGCTACCGTTCATTTCCCACTTCTGCACAAATTGAAGTAGTTCTTCTAAATATTGCCTTCTGTGATTAGCTTATTTGTAATTGTTGAAATTGCTGCTATTTTAAATTTAATAGTTATTTATTCCCCTCATTCATGTATTAGGAAATAATTCAGTTTGGTTGCTCAGACCTCATCTAAAGTTAAGGTTAGCACAATGACTCTTCTCTGTTCATGAATTTTAAGAATTCCTTTTTACTTTTTATATAATAGAAGCTTTCATTGGTATACACATAGAAACAGATACTTCACATTGGTATAAAACATATATTTGCACTTAATTTGAATCATTGTTAAATGAAGTTGGAATATCATACATGACATACAATGAATTTATATATGCACATCCCAATACAAAGTATGATTAGAAAAGCTGAATTATTCATTAACAAGTCATAGAGAAAATTAACACAATCCCTTCTTTCCCTTATGACAGAAATACATCAAGCTCACTAAAGGAATGGAATAGGATGCCCTTTCTTGTAGAATTTACACTAATTTCCATGAAGAACTGAAACAACAATATTATTTGCATTTCCTTAAATAGTTTCAGGTTGTTTAAAGTCCTTCTAGCAATGTAATATAAAACCAAATCATAACATTAAAACTATTAGAAAGCATTCATCCTCCATGTTTTATCTACTGCAAACAAGGGAAAAAGTTTTTAGTTACAAAGGGGAAAACAATGAAATTAATGGTGCATGACATGCTAAAAAAAACAAACATTACAGGAACTACATTTTTTAGTGGTCTCAGCTTCCAGTAATTGTAGGTATCATTGATAATAGTACATTTTATTCTTTTTTTTTTTTTTTTTTTTTTTTAATCAGAAAAGAGTTGATGTTGCTACTTTAAATAAATAAAATTTTAAAACTTTAACTTCAAAATTGTTCCCTTATTCCATTTAATTTTTGTCATAGGTAGATAAACAACATTTGGAGGCAATAAGTTGCTAGCAGCTCCTGCATCCACAGGATATCATGGGTGCCTTCAGGTAATCCATGATATCCTGTCTGACTTTTGATCACTAGGGATTTGCCATGTAGGCAGCATGGGTTCACCAAGGGCAATCATGCTTGACCAAACTGATAGCCTTCTAGCCTAGATGAGTCGATGAGAGAACAGTGGATGTTGTCTACCTTGATTTCAGTAAGGCTTTTGACAGTGTGTCCCTTAAAATACTTGGAGGCAAGCTCAGGAAGTGTGGGATAGATTAGTGGACAGTGGGGTGGATTGAGAACTGGCTAGAGAGTTGTGCTCAGTGGCACAGTCTATTTGGAGGCCTGTAGCTAGCAGTGTCCCCCAGGGGTCTGTACTGGGTCCAGACCGGTTCAACCTATTCATCAGTGAACTGGATGACAGAATAGAGTGCACCCTCAGCGAGTCTTTGGGTGACACAAAACTGGGAGGAGGGGCTGATACACCAGAGGGCTATG